GGGTCTTGGATAAACAGAAAACTGAACATGAGCATGGCATCACAATTGATATCTCACTGTGTAAATTTGAGACCAGCAAATACCATGTGACCATCATTGATGCTCCAGAACACAGAGACTTTATAAAAACATAATTATGGCAACATCACAGGCTGACTGTGCTGTCCTGATTGTTGCTGCTGGTGTTGGTGAATTTGGGGCTGGTATCTCAATGAACAAGCAGACTTGTGAGCATGACCTTCTGGCTTACACACTGGGTGTGAAGCAACTGATTGTTGGTGTTAACAAAATGGATTCCACTGAGCCACCCTAGACCAGGAGTCTACTGTGTACAAAAGCAAGGGGATATGACATGGTTTAAAGTTAAGAAGGAAGTGCATCAGAGTTGTATTCTTTCTCCATACTGATTTAATCTGTATAGTGAGCAAATTATTCAAGAAGCTGGGCTCTGTGAGAGGAATGTGGCATCAGGATAAAAGGGAAACTCATCAATAACATGCCTTATGCAGATGACACAACCTTGCTTCCTGAAAGTGAGGAAGACTCAAAGCACTTATTGCAAAGATCAAGGAATGCAGACTTCAATATGGATTGCATCTCAAGGTCAAGAAAACAAAGATTCTTACTACCGGATCTATAGGCAACATCATAATGGATGAAGAGATTGAAACTGAAAACAACTTCATTTACTTGGGTCTACAATTAATATCTTTGGTACCTATAGTCAGGAAATAAGGAGATACATTGGACTAGGAAAGTCTGCAGTCAAGGACCTCTCCAAATTATTGAGGAGTGATGATGTTAGTTTGAGGATTAAGGGGTATCTGATTCAGGCGATGGACTTTCTGATCACTTACTATGCATCTGAGAGCTGGACAATAGTAGAGATGACACAAGAAGAATTGATGCCATTGAGCTTTGGTGTTGGAGAAGAGCACTGAACATACCATGGACAGACAAAAGAACAAACAGTATGTCTTGGAGAGGGTGCAGCCAGAGTGCCCTTTGGAGGCAATGATGATGAAGCTTCACCTCATACACTTTGGACTTTTTCCGGGGAGGATCTATTCCTTGGAGTGGGACATGATGCTTGGAAGGGTGGAGGGTTGGTGAAGGAGAAGGAGGCCCTCAACCAAGTGGATTGACACGGTGACTGGTGCAATGGGCTCTAACGTGTTAGGAAACGTGGAGATGGCACAGATAGGACAGAATTCAGATTTGTTGTTCATAGGATCACTATGGGTTGTACTTGATGGCACCTAACAACAACAACATCCTGAACAAATTATTTAAGAAGCTGGACTCTATGAAGTAGAGTGCCATCAGGATCTGAGGCAGACAACGAATAAGGATGACAGAAGAATTGATGCCTTTGAACTGTGGCATTGGAGAAGAGTGCTGAAGATCCCATGGACTACCAGAAGAACTAACTGATATATCTTGGAGAAGTTGCAGCAAGAGTGCTCCTTACAGGCAAAGATGATAAAACATACCTTGGGCATGTTGCCAGCAGAGGCTATTTCATGAAGAGAGACATCATTCTTGGAAAGGTAGAGGGATAGCAAATAAGAGGAAGACCCTCAACAAGGTGGATTCACACACTGACTGCAGCAATGGGCTTGAGTGTGTCAGAGATTTTGGAGATAACATAGGGTTCAGATCTGTTGTTCATAGGGTTATTATGAGTACATGATGGCACGTAACAACAAGAACTTTCTCCAGGGAGTTCTGGCGGCCTAGTGGTAAGGAGCTGTGCTGTCAACCCAGAGGCCTATGGTTCAAATCCACCAGCTGCTCCACTAGAAAAAGACGCACAATCTCTCTCTGTAAATACCCACTCGAGGGTCGGCTATGAGTTGGTTCTGATTTGGCAGGAATTAGTTTTTGGCTTTTTCCTTTTTGCTAAGAGCTCTTAGATGGCATGTGAGTAACTTCTTTGTGATCCTTCAGAGGGCAGCCATCTTGAGAAGGGCAGGTGCCCTGATGGCCATGCTCCTCACCTGGAGACTGCTCTCTCTAGGAGACATGCATGTATTTCTGAAATTGGATGAACCATGCATACTCTTTGTCTTCCTAGTCATCTGCTCATGCTCATACAAGACCCTGAAAGTACTTCCGATGACAGCCGTCTTGAAAGAGTCAGTGAGTAAATATCCTAATCCCTCCCACATAGGTCAATGCCAGATGATAATCTCCTCCTCTCATGAATAAATATGATGCTCTTTCCCTTTTGATAGGTTAACTTTAAACCTCTACTCACCAGATGATCTCAAAAGTATAGCTTGCCACTGGAAGCCCTATGAACCTGGAGAATGGAAGAAAGTCACACAGGTGTCGAGGACTTTCGTTCATAGGGTCGTTATGAGTCGCCTACAACTCAACGGCAGTTGGCCTAATGGACCGAAAGTGATGCTACCAAGCCAAAGGCGGGTGATTTGAATCCGCGACCTTCAGGCCTGTTTTTAATTGTTTTTGGTCAAACTTTCTTCTAGATTGTATTAGCCTTGGTGTGTTCGCTTGCCGTACAGAGGTAACTTGCAGTCATTGTGAAGCTGAACACTGTGACACTGGCATTCACTAGCTTGTCAAATGCGATAATGGTTACCCATGGTGGACAGTGTTTGGTGGAACTCCCCGATTAAAACAAGCTTGGAAGCAGGAGTGGCATCCACTGCCATAAATAGTTTGCCTCGGGAAACCTTATGAACCTGAAGAAAGGATGAAAGTCATGCAAGTACGAGTCACCTACGACTTGACGGCACTTAACAACAACAGCAACTCACCATATAAATAAACATGATATCCTTTCCCTGCCTCCAGAGCCTTAAAATTAATCACTTCCTCCTTTGTTCCTTGAGTCGTGCACTGTCTTGTCCACTCATGTGACACTTTACCAAGTATTTTATTTCCAATAAACCTCTTTCTTTGCTTGCATAGACAAGTCTGGACTCCTGGGTTGCGATTTTTGCTTAACAGGAAGAAGAATTCAAATTTAAGGAGTGCATATATTCTTGGTCACCACATTTAGAGAAAAGTTAATCTACAGAACAATTCTATAGTTTTTATTTTTTAAAAAAATGTAAGGGTTTTTTTCCCAGCTGCACAGAAAAGTGGACAGTGTTGGCCTGAGCATGCTAAGGTCCCTGCTCCCTATAGGAACAGAGAATAAGGGCTGCCCAGGGAACAGATAGAGTGAATTCTTGTGATAATAAAAAAAGAAAGATAAGTATGTTGTTATGTGCTGTTGAGTCAGAACCAACCCGTAGTTGATCCTCTACTTAGTTGTCTTTCTTTTTTTTTTTTAAGCTTAACTCTTAAAGTATTAGTATTTTATTTCCAGTATCCTGCTTATTATTGGGTTTTAAAAGGTCCTGTACAATCTGGAGAGGAAGGGCTCCTTTTAAAACACATTTACTTTCTTTTAGTGGAGAAACCAATTTTTCTGGAGAATGTTCCATGCACATTGGAAAAGAAGGTGTATTGTGCTTTTTGGGGGTACATTAGCCTATAAATATCTATAAGATCGAGTTGGTTAAT